AGGTTAGCGTAAGTACAGGTAATGCTTTTGAAAATAGGGACAGAACATATTTGTCTCCCTGTAATGCGTAATTTCAGCCGCTTTGGAAGGGGCAAGTATCTGTACGAGCCTGCGTTTTCTCGAAACTGACAGGAGTTCGACAATTCACCCGATTCCATTGTTAGACTCGGGTCTTAGACACGGGAGATTAAATCATTCTATTTGCTATTCATTTTTTTTTTTTTTTTAGGAGGAAGGCCGGAAGCACCTTTTCTCTTTCTCGCAAATGAGGGGAAGTCCGACGCCAGGCCACATTTGCACTTGTTTCTCCCTCTTTTTTTTTGAGCGGATTGGGGAAGGTGGAGTTGGCATCAACATCGATTTCGTAGAAAATGAATGATCGCACTTGAAGGTGCGATCTGCTGGTGGCCGATGGTGGAGATGATGCAATATTGGTGGCCAATGCCGGTGGTTTATCGATCCATCGGCTCACCCCTAATTTCCCTAATGTTCGTGCAAGTGATGTGATAATTTAAATCCGACGAACGGAAACTTGCCGAGCGCGCGAGACGATCGATTCGATTATGTCTCTGCGATATTCATCCGTCAAACTGCAAAATTATGATGCTCCGATGATTATGAAGAACGGGAGATATACGAGGCATTCCCAGTCAAGAAATGTTGAACGGGCCATCAGTGGCTTTTAGTGAAGGCGTACATGAGCCATAGCTGAACCATCACTACCACATGATTGGCTTACAGTTGGCTGAAGCCGGCTTATGATCGGGCATGACCGGTTGACCCTTCGTCGGGCTAATTGTAGCTCATTATGGAAATCCGGAAATACTCCACAAATAAGCCAGTGATGAACCGACTCTTCACGAAGTAGAAAAAATATGGAAACGAAAAAACATGAAACTGCAACGATTACGCATCTAGGAGAGATTCCTATGCATCATTCCGCAAAAACCCACCTCATCTCCCACCTTCTGTTCATCTTCACCTGGGCAAGATATTTGTATCCTGTCGATGAAGTATCTTCTACCTAATGTACCAAATATACAGTAGATCCCCTTCCAGGATCGACACCATTGAAGAAGTCGTACCGTTTATGATCCCTGACCAATTTCCAGGCGATGTCCACTACTACGATTCAAGCGTATCTGCAATTTCTCCAGAGGTCAAAGTTAACACGTGAGTTTCCTCATTGATTGAGGAGTCGAAGTGACATATGAAAGATTGTGTTCATGGCGTTAAACAGCTAGAAGAACCATCCTCCCACCAATCTCCGTACCGGAATTGCCTGGTGTTTCCCGAGGTTGGGTAATCTCTTCGGAGGAAGGTGTCGAGGAATCCCGTTGTCTTTGTTTGAGATGTATGAGGAGAACCATCGGAAACTATAAATAATACAGGGGACTCAGTTGAGTCGGGAGTCCAGGAGTGACTCTCCACAAGAACTCAGGCTCCATCTAACGCCGGTTTTGGGAGCTTTCGTTCTGGTTTTCGTGAGATGGTTTGCCTCGAGTTTTTCCTTGGCTCAACTTGGGGACTTCCTTGTTGGGCCAGCTGTACCTTGGCCACTGTTGCCATGTGCCGCCCTTTCCAGGGAAGTTTGATGGGGCAACTACGACACGAGAGTGATTCGGCCAGCCCAATCGTTCGCAGATGAGCCAACCTCCCCAGTTATGGACAGACCAACGAAAAATTTTGACTGGGTTGTGTGGAGCCCAGCAGTGGAAGTGGGGATCGGCTCAAGAGAGGATCCACATCATCCATATTGAGGATCACCTCAAGAGAAGGATCCGCATAGTCTGTCAGAGATCCAGTTTTCGCCGAACCTGGAATGCGGCCATTTTAGAAAATGGAGAGGGTGATGACAACCTACACGTGGTCCTCTTGTTAGTACAAATTTCCTGCGAATTCGCCAACTGATGTCATCAAGAAGACGACCGAACGCTGGTAAATGGCCTTCCGGTCCGAAGAGCAAGAAAAAGCCACCAGAAAAGTGTAACTAATAATGGCTGCATTAAGCAAAAAAAAAAAGGAGATTGCTAAAAAGAAGAAAAAAGAATTTTCCATTTGTGGGAGACGGCAGTAAGATAAGGAATGTGCGAGAGTATCGTGTTGTGACAGAATCCCTGATGCTTGGGAGCCTGCCCTCATCTGCTCCGCTGTTTTATTTTTTCCGCGCCGGCACGTTCTCTAGAGACAGTTCGTCAGTGCCGAAGAGGAAACCGCGGTTTTTTTCTAAGTATAGTTTCTCCTCTGGAGCCTATCTGTCAGACAGGTCGAGAGGAATACGGACAAAGGACGAGCGTATGTACTCTGTTTATCGTATGGACTATATTTGGTATTCGATCGTGGCCCCTTTACGGTTTTACAATATGAAGAGTCTCCCTCTCGCATCTAGAGAGAGTGCTTGCCTTGCCACATAGATAAGGCGAATAATTGAATGCGAGATCACAGTTGAATCCCAGATCAGGACGGATATCGAAACGACGATTTATGCCCTTATTTATTCAGATTCTTTCGGTATTTAAATCGAGCAGTAAAATTAAAAGCTGCTTGGGCAAGCGCGTCTCAGGAGTGGAGTTCATTTTGCTAAAGAATGACTTAATTACCTCATTTAAAAATATGCAATCACGTTATGATCTTGACGACCGCAACTTGTTTTCCGATTAAAAAAATGGGTACAAGAAAAACGTAGCGATCTGTTTGGATTTTTGGAGGGTAATGAGTGAAAGGGGAGGAGAGGATGCAGGACGGGTGGAAGCGGGGGAAACATTCATCCCACCATACGTCATAACCTCATTTCCGAGGCCCAAAACTCAACGCAAATACGTGTCTAGAGTGAAGGTTCAGAGGAAACAAGGTTATTTTAGGGCGTCATAAATAAAATGAACCTGAAATGGAAATTCTCACGATTGAACTTTTTTTAAAAATTAGTTGTCGGACAATGGAATTGAGAAGATAGCGAGTGACAGGCAAGTAGACAGACATAACAGGAATAAAAGTATTGCCTTTTCTTTTGGAAATGATGTTCGCCGAGAAGCTACCGGCCCTCTGTCCTCGTCCACTTGAAGGTGCGATCAGACGCTGATGATTTTCCTCATGAGTGCCTGCTCACATATGAGCTTGGAATTCGTGTTATCAGGTTCTACGAGCGAGTCGTAGACTCATGCGAGTGGCACGCCATCTCCTAAGGCCTCGGAACCTACTTGAGTTTCTTGCGATAACTCATTAGAAAGATCCCCGCCGATTTTCTTGGATGGTCAGTCAGCCTCACGCGGAGCTTCTCGATCAGCCAGGTGTGAATCATCCCATTTCAGCTAATGGAATCCTTCGTGGACAGATATGACGGACATGATGGACAAGATGGCTAGGGAAGAATATCATAATTCAGATCTTGCTATATGGTATGTAAGTTTTGAATCAATTCAACAGTGTTTCCTAGGACGAATCGGCTAGAAGTCGTTGCAAGAACCGTGGTGGAAAATGTGCATCCCTTTTCTTGTCTCCTTTGTAGCCGCCGTCACAACTAACGTGTCTCTCGTGATTTGAACTCAATGACATCCTCAATTTTTGTGCACGGTCCCAAGCAAATGCAGATTGGCTCCAGCTATCACTATTCGTTGTCTGTACATCCCATCCTGATGTGATCCGGATTCTAAAAACGCATTGCGCTGGAGCGAAACTAAGCATGCTGAAGTTTTTTTCGAAACACAATGTTTTCTTGCAGCCGTCAGATCATAGCAAATGCAATCTCGTGTAAGCATTCTCACGTGAGCAAAATCGTGCCGTCCGATCGCTGCTTTCGTATTCTGACAGAAATGTACCGCTTGGATGAAGTTTAAAAAAGCCAGGCCGTGGCCTTAATTGAATAGGGGTAAGAGAAAGCTAGAGACTCTGCAAAGATCATCATCCTGGAGAGAGGAAGGGGGAGACAGGAGACATGTACGTGCTGGCTGGGGGAAGGGGGAAGGAGGAAGGAGGAAGGAGGAAGGAGGAAGGAGGAAGGAGGAAGGGGGAAGGGGGAAGGGGGAACGGGGAAGACAGGGCCCATGTTTTGACATTGTGGAAAGGTCCGACAGAAAGGCGTGGGCTGATCCGAGATATTATCGTCAAGATGCCTTCGCCATTGATCTTTCACTCGACAGAATTACCTGGAAAGTTGTCCTTGTTCGCCGATCCGTATGGTTATCGTTCTAAATTAGCGGTTCCCAATCTGTGGGTCGCGAGAGGCATCAAGGTGGATCGCGTACATTTTCCCAGTATATCCCAGGATATAGTAAAAAATTACTATATCCTCATCCGCTCGGGATAAAACATGCCCTGCAGAGAAGATCGATCGGTTTTCTTCACGTCATAGTTACTCTGAAAATACCTCGTTCTGTATTCCGGTGGGTCGCGATTCAAAGAAATCTGGGAACCGCTGGTCTAAATAAGCAATTCAGAGAATTACGTAGATTGTGAACCTCCAGATTTTCTTCGGTAAGTATCTCCCTTGATCCAAATCCAAGTGATCGCTCGCTTCATCATTCAATATTTTCAGGTCGAGCACATTCCTTAGTTTATCTGTCACAAGTTCCTCTAACATTTTCCCCAACGACTCTATCCTTTCCTGACTCTTGTTCACTTGATGCGAATCCCCCAATTCGAAAGATTGAAGAGCTCAGAACCTCGATCTCATCTGATCTCTTGCGTTGTTCATCCCCCGCAGGAAGGTGTGCGTAGATTGTGGTTGCGGAAGAGAAGGGCACGACGTGGTGCACGAGGAGTGGGTGAACATTCAGGACAGATTGGGCCTTAAGGGCAAGGACACAGCCGGCAAGGAAAAATCACTCTCTCATGGATACTCCTGGGTCCCTCCCAACCTCTCCCCCGACCAAGTAAGTTTTTTGTTGGGAATTTTCTTTCGGTGCAAAAGTCGGGACGATGTGATCGTATCCATATAACATCCCCATATGAACTGGGCCTTTCTCCATTTCTTGGATGAATGAATCCAATTTTCGTGTGGATCGATGACTTGCGTATGTTTCTGCCCTCTGCATGTATTTTGACATCTGCCGAGACTTTGTAAATAAGTCTATCACCTAAAAGCAAAGTTTTATTCTTTCAATTGATGAATTGGTGATTTGATTTTAGCAGTCAATTGAATAAAAACAGAAATGATGAAAATGCAGTTAAAGAGGCTGGTCTTGCCGTCGAAATTTGGATATTTCATAATTTATCTATTTTTATTTATTTTATTATTATTATTATTATTATTACTTAAAAAGTTCAGTTGCATAATTGTATCGTAGTATTGTAAAATCGGTAAGTGTCTTGAACCTTTGTACTCGGTGGTGGAGTCCCTAAAGTGTCTCTTTTGGAGTACACCTGCATGCGTAACAGATGCGACGACTCGTTTGATCGGCTGGAAGTCTCTTTCACAAAATTATTTGAAGATGCGTCTGTTCTAATTTTGGATGGCGCCTGTACATATGCCAATAATATTCTAATGAAAAGATGTTTGTGGACATCGGCTAAAATACTCTGGTCGATGTTCTCGTCGAGCGACTGGCTTGGACTAGAACGTGCATGTTTCATGGATGTAGATCGAGGAGTACATGCGATGGTTACCGACGGAGAAGATCCCTCGACTGGGAACGGAAGGAGAGCGGTACCGGGACCGTCAGGTGGTTTATCAGCTTCCCCGGCAGGACATGTGTCTCGCCTACACTCGACACGTGGAGGCGGAACACCGGCGCTCCTTCGAAGACTTCGTCAAGGCTCGCAACGAGATCGCCTCCGACTTCGCCATCGTGAAACATCCCATCCCCACCTCCACCGTCAGTACATTCCCTCCCGTTGCCTTTTGGTGTTTCCTGCTCTCCACTTTTTTTTGAGATTCTTGGTCATCAAAATTCCTCGCAAATTTTTTCGGAGTTGACTTTTGAAGCGCACTAGCTTTGAAATAAGGCTTTAAGACTTTTTTTCTGCTCGTGTATTCGTTTTAATGTCGTTATTTACGTCTATAGACGTAATGCCGACATTAAAACTTATAGCTAAGGCTTATAAGTCTCCCAAATCGTTCCACTTTAAAGTTGGAGGAGTTTTTGCCTCTGTATGAGTTTGACATATTTCAATATTCGCTTATTTCGTATTTTCTATGTATTTCCTACATTTTGCGAATATCTCGTACCATGTCAATACTCTTTAGATTTTGCGTCTTTTCTACCACTACCAATCATCACGTGATGGTATCGAGTCTTTCTTTTCTAAATATATTTTCCTTTTTGCTTGTGCTGGTTAGAAATGTCCAGAGTGCGGTGAGATAGTGAAAGCCGGGACCCTGGGCGTGATAGCGCCGAAATTTGGTGAATCTGTGGCCTGGCACCCGTCCTGTTTCGTGTGTAGTGTGTGCAAGGAACTCCTCGTGGATCTTGCCTACTGCCTCTACGATGACCACATTTACTGTGAACGCCATTACGCCGAACAGCTTCGCCCCCGTTGTGCAGCCTGCGACGAGGTCAGACCCATCTCCTGCTTCCCCTCAGAATTACTTACTTCTCCACCGTTGGCACAGATGTCGTGCATGCCCCGTTGGTCCAAGAGTCCACTGAGTTTGCTCTACACGTGAAACCTTGGTCGTTTAGTGCCTGTTCACAATCACAATCTGGTTTTGAGCAGATGTAAAGGGTGGTATGACCTTTCTGCCGACGATGCTGCATAGGGGGAGAAAATGGTTTCTTTTAAAAGTAAATTATAAATCGATTGAAGTCTGTTTCCTGTCTCTCCATATGTCTAGTCAACCTGTCACGTCTCCGACGTCTAAAGGGAAGTCAGTTGGATCAGAATATGTGTTTCTAAATTCCCCCTCACAGGATTCTCGGAATAGTGAGGATGGTGCACTCGATATCGTTAAGGCAGTTCTAAATAAAGCCACTTCCGGTATGGGTTGCCGGTGGTGTGATTCCCGTTCCTGTATGGAACGTGAGTCGTCAGACTGTACCACAACGTACCTTCAAGGTCATTGACAAAAAAAAGTACTCGAGGATCATCAATTACATATTTTTTTCTCCTTGAACGTCACGTGCACGAATGGTCGGCATAGGGAGGAGAAAGAAATTCGGGAACCCTGTGTCGCATGATTGATGGGAAGATCAACTTGGCACCAGTCCCCGGCTGAAGTGAAAAAAGGGAAATAAACATTAACGAGGGGTAGCCCTGATTGAGCGGCGGCTTCTTCTTTCATTCCCTCCTTTCATCCGTCCAACACTGTGCTTCGTTCCCGAAGGAGGAAGTTTTCATTTTTTTCTTCTACCGAGACAAGAAGTGTTCGTTGCCCGAATTCTCATCTTTCCGTTAAGTGCGTTTCCGGTTCAGTTTCTGCGTATTTCACCCGCTGCGACTTTTTTTTCATCACATTCCAGAATATCTGGGTGAGTCAGCTGAAACTTCCGCAATTTCTGTCTCTTCATTCCACGTTCAGGATTTCGACACCACTGACTTTCAAAATAAAAATCACATTTCTCGGACGTCGTCCATGAAACTAGAAAGAAAATAAGGCTTAAATTGTCGGAGAGCTGAAAAAAATAAGGCGAGGAATGGCGAGGAGAGGAGACATCTGGTCTGTCTTTGGGGAACGAAGGGTCTCATGTTGATACATACAGATGTCGGTTGAGGCATTCTATACTCCGAGAGGCCCTGTGCGATACATCGCGGGGTCGTCCTCGATCATACGAAGGTTCACGTGAGACTTGTCATTTTCGCCTGCTCCCTGAATTTCCACGTGATTCATAAGATCACAAATGTCACTTGCAAATATTCTCAGTCTTAAAGAATCTACTCAAACGGTTTTGTCGACACTGCATTTGAGTTTTTTTTTAATCATGCGTGCTCTACTGCATGTACATACAGATGTTGCCATACTTCCCACAAGATTAAGTATAAAAACATGGGAGGAAAAAGGAGGAATTTAGTGGGAAAAGTCAGCTGCTGGCACCCTGGCCTCATTCCAGAAAGTGGAAATCCCCCTGCCCTGCAATCCCTTTCCTCTCCGTGAATATCTACTACCCTCCCCCCTCTCCCCCTTACCAACTCCCTTTGAAGCTTCCGCATTGCATTCAACCTTGTCGTTATCGTCTCTGATTTCCGTAGTTGAGGCTCGCTCGTGGAGAACCTAGATAAGGTAGATCTGATGAGAATGCATATTTAAGGTTGTCGGTAGCTATTAAGACTAGAGATTGCCATGCTTCTCTTGCGACACTTCATGATGAAACTATGATCATTTTTCCCCATTCCCCTTTCCTTGTACGAGCCCCCAACGACTAAGGAGGTTCGCCCTCAAACTGTTAGGCGACCGTTTCTCATCTCCGTCGGCAATAGGCTTATTTATGTAATTGATTCGTAGTGAATAAAAGACCCAATTCCAATGACGCCCCACTGTCTGGATTACGCAGTTCCTTTAAGGTGACGAGAAGACTCTACCTTTGAGTTTGGGACGTTTTCCACGGGACGAGTTGAATAGTAAACCAACTCCAGAGTTGAATTCCTCTCTATCAAGAGCATGCTTCAAAGACGCATGGCGCCATTGAGAACCGGATTCATTTTATTCTCTCCGATTCGTCGTGCACTTGACCATTCTAGGTTGGCATTCGCTCGCGGAAATTTCCTGCTTTTGAAAGGAAAGGACAGCAACAAAAAAATGTGGAATAAGGCTGCGAAAGTCTTAATTGAACTTGGCGATTTCTTCTTAGTTGAACTACTGTACAGAGGTGCAGCGAACAATCCTTGTCGATGTTGTCGTTAGAGGAAACCTTTTTCCCTTCTTTCCATTCCCTGTCCATCCAGGGTCAAGGAACTGGAGGGAAAGAGCCATCGCATCGACTTGCTGCTTGTACGCACACGCTGTTCTCGCATGAGGTCCATATACGCCCACGATGCGGACATTCATGCGGTCTGATCGGTGACCATCAGTGTGTGCATGCATGCTCGACTGCTGATATGTTCGTCAACGAGGAACCGACGAATCGGATTGGGTGTTAGATTTGTTAAAATTACAGGGAAAGTTTTCGCGGCTCGCCTTACGAAAGTGAACAAAGAGAGCTCGTTTTCTGATCGATGCGCTACAATCAGCGTCGTGGGAAAGTGGGAGAGAAAGGGAGGAAGACATGAGTTCCTCTTACGGGAGAAAAGCTCACAGTCTTATGAACTTGAACTTGGTGTGTCCCTGGTGCCAAAATGCCGTGGTACAACGCCTGGAATGACAAGCAGCAGCTTGCACTTAAGACTTCACCGTTGTACTGATCATTGACCCTTGCGCAAATCCCCGAAGACCAGGACCGACCCTAGCTATTTCGACACCCTGTGCAAACAGCCCCCCACCGCCGCCTGCCCCCACCCACCCACCCCCCCCCCCTTCCCCCCCGAAGGGAAAAGGGTCATCCCTTAGCGACCAAAACGACGCCGAAACGGAAAGCATTTCCACTTTCTGAAGTAAAACTGAGGGTGGCATCTATTGCGTCATCCTGAACGTCCATCAAGTACGTGAATTGAATGGTACCAAGGAATACCAATTGTTCAAAAACTTCCTCTTATAGGATTTATCCAACAATCAATTAACACCTTCGAAACAATCCCTTCATCGTTTAAATTGTATTAAGTCCCAAGTTCTGTTCTGCTTCCGTACCATGGGTCATCATCAGCCGAACCTCTCTCATTCCAATTGGGAGTACTATCTTCTTTTGTAGAGAAAGTTGGAATTCATTATCATCCTTCACATCTCCCTATGGGATTCACAAGAATCTCAAAAGATGAGAAGGATGATTAAGGAATATTTGTTCACAGGAGCAGAACTCTTCCTGATATTTTCACTAGCACAGAAGTTCTTTAACTGCTCGGAAGTTGCGAGTTAGAATAGATCCATTGCGTGGCATCTTATATCATTCGAATTTATCTCCTCTTGAGGGGTCAGAAGCGCCCCACACTCGGTTTCCACTAAAGTAGATGATATGCATTGATATGTGCTCTTCCAGCAAGCATCCCGTGGGGTTAGGCTTGAAGTTGAACCATCCTCTATCCATCCTTCGAGCCAGAGTTTCCTGAAGACTCCTTTGACTGGATTACCTAATCAGACAAATGTGTTAAAGAATTCGAATGTCTTCTGCTGTCTGTCTGTCTGTACAAAAAGATTTGGTTCCGTGTGGAAAGTATTGGAGACTAATTCCAGCTGTAACAGGCATTGACGCGCAATAACGGCTATTTTTTTACGTCATCTCGCTTCGATTGTGCGAACCTTTGTTTGTTCGAGCCACTGCCAGATGGTTGGCCCGCTGTCCCGACCAAGTAGCACAGATGTGCTTACAGAAAATATCTCTTTAACGTTCAACTAATATCCTTTATGAAGAATGAGACATTGGAGATCGATTGGCGCCTAACTAAACGCCTAAAGCTTTTTATCCGTGAACGTTGGGCATTCAAAAACCTCTTTGAACACAGGTTGAACGTCTTCAAGAACATTCATCCGTTACTTAGGTATATACCTGTCTAACTCAATCTTCAGTTGTTGGTGGTCGCATTCACAAATGGAAAAACCACCGTTGAAGATGAGCCATCGCTCTGTTAGGCCTTTTCCAAGCACCTCGGTAGTGTCCAATGCATAGAAGGACCTTCCAAAGCGAGGTTTTTTATAAGGGATTCAAAGACAGTAAATCGATGGACGAAGTGCAATGAGAACCTCTCATTAATGACTTTCAGATACTTCTCAATGGAAACTTTCTCGTTTGTGAAGGAAACTCCAAATGACGTCATTTAAAACTTTAAAACTGTTTCATTGTTGTTCATTTAAAACTGTTTAGATCGTTTGCCTTGTATGGATATCGTCTTTTTTCGCATGTTCTACCTTATCGTCCCCTTGGTTCGTGCTTTCTGGAAATTACGCAGAGTAAGTTGGCTTCAATGACTCTTTTGTATTTGTTCGGCCTAGAAGTATATGGTGTGGAGAAGATCATTTTGAATTTGCAAGAAAAGATGCTTTTGATGCAATTGGTGCGATTGGTTCGCTCTCATACATCCCTGGGCATACCTTTATTAATTTAAATCCAGTGTGTCAGTGATGAATGCCCTAGCAAGAGGAATGGAACCGTGTGTCATTATACATTTTTAACCCCCTTTCTTTTTCCCTGGTGGCTTTGAATATTTTTGTTTTTCGCGATGCCAAGGCAAGTGAGGGATCGACCGTGAATTCAAGATCAAGAAGAAACAGCTCATTAATGGAGGAGTAACGGCACATAAATCTAATTGAAAGGGAGCAAGGAGGAGAAAGGGGGAGGGGGGCAAAATGAATCCAGGTCAACTCTAACACTGCATGGCAAATAGCACATCTCCAGGATCGTGCGCAAGTTTAATTTTAGCCAGTGCCCGTGATGCATTCGTGGGTGCCGTGTGCAAAATCCCCATCTTGGCAGAGTTTGGCGAAAACACCGGATTTCAAAATACCAGTCCCCCTCCTCCCACTTTTTTATCATTTTTCTTCCGTTTTTTTTCGCTCTTCCATGTCTTCCATCCCGTTTCTAGCACTGTCTGTTCCCCTGCCTTCCTACCCTCATTTCTTCAACCATCTGTTTAACCTGATTTCCAGCTCTGCTGGTATGCGACAAGCATCTACTCAGATTCGTCTCACACCCTGTCCTTCCCCTCCGTTTTTTTTTTTTGGAGGGGGGGGGGAATTTTCCTTACTCCATTGCAAAAATAAACTATATAGACAGGAAGAGATGCTGGGAGCCTGGAGGGACCCAGCAGGCGTTGATTGGCCGGTCGGTCCTTGGTTGCCATAGCAACCAGTTCCCAGGGGCTATGGATTGCACGATCCGATTGGTCAGCGAAGCTCATTAGCGCCTTTTCAACTTCTCATTGGCTGCCCCTTCCTTTCCTTGATCCGATTGATCAAGGAAATTCCCTTAGAGGGTTACTCATCTGATGGGTCCTACATGCTGAACTCCCGTATGCGCCTCCCTTTCATTTCCCACCGTATGCCTATTCATGTTAACTCAGCGAGAAGTAACAGGAATCTGCAATAAGCTTCTACATTTTCTCGACTCATATGTGAGCTATCCGTTACCTTCTCCCTACACCTGTCATCTCCCTCTTCTCCCCCCCCCCCCCCCTTTCCTCTCCCACCTCATACCCATATATTTCTTTCCCATAGTAACGTCTCTCCCACCTTTCTCTGGCTCTGAAAATAGGTTAAGGTTTACCCTGGATGTACAGCCGGTGAGGAGGATCGGATCCAATCTCCTAGGAAAAAAAAAAACCAAGGACGAAATGAATCTCATGAAAGCGAGGATGGCCTGTGTCAGCAAAAGGGGAGGCTGGTAAATGTTTGGATAAAGGTAGGAAGTGAAGGATGAAAATTACAAGAATCCCCGATTCCTATCTTGGCCGAGATGGGTTCAAAGAAGTGATGAAAGATCTCCAACAGATCCTTTTCGTTCCATCGCCTTCGTAAACAGTTATAATCAGTCTGGCATCTATGTATTGCGTAGAATCTTTTGAAGTAATGGTGTTATCAGGTGAGAATATTCTATTTCGTCCTTAATCCGCACGCGAATTCGGATTCCAAAGATATTTTCCTCGCCGAGAAGGAACAAAGTGGTTCCCTGGCCCGATGCCCACAACGTGGTTTGGATCGGAACTCCGCCAAAGCCCTCCTTTTTTCACTTCCTCTCTCTCTCTCTCTCTCTCCCTCTCTCTTTCTATCTCTTCCCACTTCCCCTCCTGCCCTTTTCAGGTGGGATCACGGAGCTACAGAATCCAAGTTGCTGCTGCGTGTTTTGAGGGAAAAATTGTACGTATGTATAACAAGACATAAAATTAGTTGAATGTACTTGGGGGTCAACAGGGCCGTGTGCTGAGTATCCTGACCGCCGGCGTAATATCCAGTCGAGCAATGAATCTGATTGGTCTCTACGTCGTGCCCTTTATTAAGCCCATATATACACAGTTGGGCCATCTTTATAGGCAGTCTCATTACCCATTTTATGGTATGCGAGAGAGACGTAGGCGTCACATGTAGTAAACTTAAGCCAGAGGTTTTTTTCGTCGATTACCATGGATCCTAATTTCTGTTAGCTGTACCTTTTCATTATTGGAAGTGATTGGATGAGTTGCGAGACAAAAGTGATAGGGAGGAGGGAGAGAAAAATAGAAGAGGAGGAGGAGGAGGAGGAGGATGAAGGAATTTGGATAAGAGACATGCGCCCGTGCGAAAAGAATTACGTCACGCGGAGAGAAGCCCGGCGTCTCTCCTCCTTAGCTTCCCTGTATTCCTTGTTCTGCTGGTCCTCTAACGTGTTCAGATTCTGTGTCAGTGGTGCCGGCTTTGAAGGGGTGGGAGCTTGAGGGGAAAAAATGTCTTCCTCAACGGAGATGACGATTACGACGTCGACAACGTCGATGTCGGAGGGCGGGAAGACGAAGACGGTGAAGAAGACGAAGAAGACGAAGAAGACAAAGGAAGGCGGGGAAATAATGACGACTTTGGAGACCTCGGCTCAAGAGCTCAATGGACCCGAGGCCGATCTGATCGACAAAGACCAGGACCAGGACCAGGAAAGGTTCGGGGACTCTAACAAAAATGTCGAGAAGAAAAAAATAAAAATTTATATTTTTTCAAACTTCTGCTTCATTTCCAAGCTTGTGGAATATTAAAATTTTTTATTCATCTCATTCTTCTCGGTTTCATTTAATTTAACCCTTTTATCATGCTCAAATTTCGTATATTTTCTCATAGTATTTGCATATTTTCATTCTTCTCATTCATGCATTTTCTTGTGCGTAACCTTTCCTGTCCCCAAGCCCTTCCTGGTCTTTCATTGACAACCAGGTGCGTCTATGGAAAGTATTGAAGGACTTAGTTTTAAAGAATTTAGATAAATCAGCAAGTGGAAGACACCAAGTATTTCCATATCGAAGGCATGGATTTATTCAGTGATCGCTATCAAATACTTTTGCTTGTGGTGTACTTGTACAATCCACATTTAAAGTAATAGTTTGGGATGAGTCTATTTTCGACATGGCCTCTTTCCAGCCGGTTTCCTCTATAAGTCGGCCTCCTTCCTCCTTTTTCCATTTGTTTTCCTCTCTTTCATAAGTTCTTCCTGCATCCTCCGAAACAGTCCAGCTTCTGAATAATCAAAAATGATTCATTCATGTACAGGTTCATTATGTGCCAGTTGTTTTGCTGTGTTTGTATCTGCAATGCACCATTTCTTCTTGGGTATTGGCCAAAAAATCTTCTTAGGTTTCTCTTGGACCGCACTAATTTATAATTCTTACTGTGATTTCATATTCATTCACTAAACCATTTTGAACCTTGCGAATCTTATACCCTTAATTCATCCTCCATGTCATATTATTGTTTTATTGAATGGTGCTAGGAAGTTCCTTTGATCCATACGAGAACCTTTTCTCCTCTGATGTCACTCAGTACAACGGTGCATATGCTCCTGTATCGTAGAAAGCTTTTTTCAGGCGGAATGCCAAGGAAACCTCCATTCTCTCCCTTTTATAGACTCCCTTACACCTACCATATATTATTCATGTCCTCACACGAACACCTACGCCTCTGGAAGAAAAAAAAAATCCAACAATGCAGCTCCCGTCAATCTCGGCGTTGCGAGTTTTTTTTTGGCTTCTTCACGTTCTCTCGAGGGAAATCAGGGAGGAATGTTGATGAGTTCTTCCCGCTCCACATATTTTACGTGGGGTCTCCTGCGACGTCTGGGAAACTATTCATTTCGTTTCTGCAGTATATCTGGGTGTGACAGGGAATTTATATCCGCGCGACCTTCGACCTCTTTCCGATCGATTCATCTCGTCCAGACTGATCTCATGTCAAACACAAACCCGACTCCACCGAGACCAGAAGAGTAGAGATCATTTTCTTCCTTCCGATTGACCTGCATATTTTGTATATACGACACATTTCCCATGTCAGCGTATGACAGGGGTATGTAGCAAGGATGACGCGGGCTGTCAAACATCCCGCTCAAGTTTATTGTTGGACCTGCTCCAATCATCATTGTTTTGACTATCTAGGGGGAGGGAAACTTTTTCTATATCCTGTCAGCATCAAAGGGAAAGCATGTATACATTTGGAAAGCACGAAAATGGTTCTTCATGACTGCTAGGAAGATACTTGGGTACTTATTCTCCTTACCTCCGTGTGATCGTTGACTCCATCCAGATGCGCTTAGGTTTCTGGTTGGGTATTATTTTAGCGACTTAAGTAGCAAATCTTCCGGCAAATATCTCTCCCTTCGAGTCACAGTCCAATTGCGGAATGTAGGGTTGACCACTTCGGCACTGTTATAGACTAGCATTTGTGAGGAGAGGGATGGTTCACTTGGCCCATGGGAGAGTATAGGTTTGGGAAGAGTATGGTAGTCCGACATCCAATCCCTCTTGGTCCAACGCCCAATCCCACGCGAGTGCATTGGAAATTCTCAATAAATGCATCTTCCCCTTTCCACGGATTTAACTAAAGAACTCAACCAATACATTTTATGTGAATCCATTTCTCTTTGGAAATGAGATTAATTAGAAGCGACAAACGGCAGGGATGGGGTTTTTGTTTATTTGAAACCTTCACTAGGTTTATGGAGATGTCTGTCGTGGGGGAATGGTGACTTCATCCAGTTTTACACTAGTAAATGAGAACCGACGCCGAGGAGCTCATCAGTCTCCATCTTTCTTCGAAGTAGGTTACTACCCGTCTGTATTTTCCGGGAAGTCCTGTATGAAGAAACACCGGACATGCAGGTGTCCAGTATTTCTGGCAAATGTTGCCCGTTACTGTGTTTATCGCATATGTTAATGAAGTGATCATATAGAAAATTGAATTTCTCATTTTCTTACCATGTACCATGTACCATGAAATGGAAAAAAAATTGACCTGCATTCATCATGAATAATGAGAACGTCTGGGACCCGGTCGAGTCTCTAAGCCTTCTAAGGCCTACCTAATTGGGTGTAAGGACGTTCCTGGAACCGACAATTTACTCGAGAGTGAACGAGACGCAGATCCAGAAAATGTGCCATTATTTTTCCCCAAGAAAGACGCAACTCTACTTTTAGGCTTCCTTGATTAGAAGCTGATGCCAGGAAAATTCTCAAGAGAACCAGGCAAGGACAAAGAAAGTGGAGAGTCTAAAACGATGTCATTCTTTCTGCGTAATAAATACTTGAAAATCTGGACGTTTCTTTCACGTAATAAACAACTAATACATGATTTGACTCTCAGACCACCCCGGCTGTGCACAGGGACGCTTTCATTTCGTAAAAAATGAAAAAAAAATTGTGACAGTGAAAAATAAAACTCATTTTTCACTGTCGCAAAAATTGATAGACTTGACAATGACCATCGATGGCCCCTACGAACATGCACATGTACATGAAAAGACCATGAGATTGTGCCAACTGTGGATCTTCGTAAAGAAAATATGGATGCGTTTTGCCCAATTAACATGCACTTATTTGTTACCGTCTGGTGCATTGTGATTGTCAATTTCCTTTTATTCATTTCGTTTAATTGTTGCTTTGTTGTGCGTTTGTGTTCGGGCAGTTGATTTTCAGCGGGAACTACACGAAGGCGATGAGCAAGGACTGGCACACGGGACACTTTTGCTGCTGGCAGTGCGATGAGAGTCTGACGGGGCAGAGATACGTGCTGAGGGACGAGCATCCCTACTGCATCCAGTGCTACGAGCAAGTCTTCGCTAATGTCTGCGAAGAATGCGGACGCATCATCGGCATCGACTCCAAGGTCTTCACCTCCTTCCAAAACCCTCTCTAACCCTCTTTTTCAGCTTAAGTTAGAGGCAACTCGAATAAGGGACACACGATGCAAAAAGCCTATTTTTCTTAATCGAAGCATGACAAGTCGCCCACTAAATGAGGTATGAAAGTATGAGGATAATATGGGGCTTTCCATCGTGTTTCTCATAAGTCCATTTCGTCATCAGCAAACCCTGTCCGTAAAGCTTATAATATAATGCTGATATTCCCAGCCTTTTTTCCAGATTGGCAATACAGTTTGTGGGATGCTTATAGGCCTCTCTGAATGAGGAACGGGAAGGCACGGATCCAAACGGTCTTCATATTAATAATTGATCTACACTATATTGCATAATGATAAGACCCACTCTGCAAATGACGTCATAATAATGTAACGCCACTGGAGGTCTCAGTAACAATGCGATTGCCAGGCAGGTGGTATACAAGACCTATCCACTGTCTGGAGCATCAGTTAATAACAAGATTGCTGCACGATAGGATAGGATAGGATACTGTGTTGCCACATGGTTATTTGGTGCCATTTGGTGAGGGAGTCCGACCGAGCTCCCACAATACTTTTGAACTGGTGTGCAGTAAGGCCGGCCGCGCAGACATCCCGTTAGAAGCATGTATATGATTCATGCTTCTCTTGATGGCGACGGCGCTACTTTCGCATACGCTTCAACATTGTTTTATCAGTTGAGTTTGCCAAGGAAAGTTCTGTCCAACATCAAGACAAAGAAGGAAGAAGGCTAGAAAAATATAAAACTAGCTCAGAGCGTCGAGAAATATCCAATGATCTAAGGAACCATGCTAATCGGGACAAAGCGAATTTCTCTTGGCTTGCTGTAAAGGACAAAATCGGATGAGGATTCTAGATTTTTTTCCCAGTACATATCTCATACTTTATTTCAGTAAATTTATTTCAGATTTTTTTTTTACTCAGTGTGTACTTTCGCATATTGCCAATCCAGTTTGTCATGTGGCTTAAAGAAATATTGAGTATGCGTCATGAACTGTCACGACAGACGTTCTGGGTCTAGAAGTAAATCTTTTCGTCTTCAATCAGATCATCCAACTGTCACTTTTGATAATCTTTCTCGAGGCTTGTTATTGGTTTAACAACTGTCATTACTCCCTCACGCAATCGCACGAAGTTGTGCAAAGCGCGACAAATAGCAAAAATTGTTGGAATTTTTTCTTCTCGGGCGCATCCGATGGTTGCATTCCAAATACCCCACTTTGAGTATAGCATGCCAAAGGCACACTGCACCTTCCGCTTGATAGTCGGTAGTTGGAAATGTGTTCATCTTCATTCAGCTGCCTCTGGGGGTAAGGGCGCATCAGGTGGGCGGTCATAGAAAACGCTTATTCACCCAAGAAAAAGAAAGGGAGCGGCTTTTTTTTATGGGAGAAATTCATCGTGAGGTATGCCAAGAGTGCCATGCTCAAAGCCTTTCCAAAAGAGCAGTGTGTAAATACTCCACCGTCGCTGTTTCGACCAAAGTCACCGACGGATATGAAAAGACCATCAGCGTCTGCAAAATGCCATCAAAACAATAGAATGATAGCCTTTGTAGTTGCATTAGTTGTAGTAGGTTTTATACTTGCGAAACGTATGATACGCGTTTCTCCAGTGTGCAGTTGAATGATTGCTCCATGTATTATACAAGTTTAATACATGTTTCACCCTAATACATGCTTCGCCAGGGTGAGGCCCACCTATGGTGCATTTTGTCAAAGCTTGAAAGAAGACACTTTTTGGATATGCTGGTATCTTTCCCTCACCAGGGTGGGTTCAGGCTGTCATCCATGCCAAGGAGAGTCATTACAAGAAACACGATATTTGCATGTGAAGTAATGGCAATGTTTATGAGCGGGCTTCACTTTTGGAAAGGTAGTGAATACCGAAACGAAATTTGTACCAGCTGTATGATTGGGGTCGAATGTTCGGAGTTCCTTCAAGGGTTTATGGAGTTTAGGGCATTTTTCGCTCGGAAGCCCCTGTGATACGTTCAGAATACCGTCGATGCGATCTGAATTTCTCATCTCTTGAGTAGAAAAGTGATTCCATTTCAATAATTTTATGGAAAACGTTCTCTCTTTTTTTTGTAAGATTCACTAAGAAGTGGTTATGTTCGCTTGTTTAAAGAAATGTGAAAAAAAAACTTCAGTTTACTTTTGAGAATGACGCGTGACGGGTTTTTTTTCTCAGCTCTTGTTGAACTACTCTAAAGCGACAGAAAGCGACAGAGATGGAAATGGTACCGGACAGGAAAGAGTGAAGGGTAATTAACAGGTCAATTAGTCGCAGGCTCTTGGCAGGGAATAAACGGTCTCTGCGTTGAAAGATGAATGCTTTCTTTCCTGCCTCCTTTCTAGCTTTCGTTCTTTTCCTCTTGGAAGGGTCACCAACGTAACGAATTTTTGTCTGTTTCTATTTAATTGCTATTCACCTGCATACTGTAGGTGATTCCAATGCTTTCTTATCGTTAAAACCTTTATTTCTATGTTCATGTGCTTATTCTTTATGTTCGCTGGTTTTATTCCACTACATATATTGCATATGCAGGCGAACGTGTCAACGAATTTTTGGCTGACTTGGCTACGTGTTCCTCAATACTCCATTTAAAATGAGACTGATATTTTTATTTGATGACAAAATTTGCCCTCTTGCATTGTTTCTCGATTGATGTTCCTGACTCACTCTCAATACACTACTCCGCTCTTCATGAGGCTGCTTTCCAGTTTACTCTGCATTAGGATATTATTTTTGTGTTGTCTATTTTCATCCCTGTACATATCTTCATTTGAGTATAATTGCTCGGGCATGATTTTAAAATAATTTTTCTGCATAAGGATTTCGTAACGCTCAAAAAGGCTCTGAGATGTTTAAAAAATATCCCAAAATAAAAAAATAATCAAATATCTTCTTTCTTTATATATATTTTCTCGTTCATTTAGTCATGGGCTGGACTTTTGCAGGATTTGTCTTATAAGGAGAAGCACTGGCACGAGGCATGTTTCCTGTGTGCCAAGTGTCGAGTGTCCCTAGTGGACAAGCAATTCGGATCCAAGTTCGAGAAGATCTACTGCGGCAACTGCTACGACGCCCAGTTTGCCACCCGCTGCGATGGATGCCGCGAGATATTCCGAGCAGGTTCGTATTCAATACTTACCTTTCTCTCTAGCACACACATCCTTCTCTTTAACCCCTTCTTTATTGATATTCTTCAGAAATGTTTCATTCCAATGACAATTTTAACATTTTCTTTTTTTTTAATCTTCGGGTATTCAATATTTATTTATTAAGAAATTCGGTGAGTTCTCAATTCAAAATGTCAATCTTGCTTCGTTTCTTCGAACATTTCTTCTCACTGCTATTAATCACTAGGTTGCATGTCCTTCTCTCGTCCCGTCGTCGAAGAGATTCACAAAAAGGAACAGGAATAAATAGTCGGAAGAATTAATGAAACACGCACATGCTTAATTTCTCAACTGTACTGGATGTGGCAACAGCAAACGAGGTGTTCATGGCATATGTACACTCAGAAGAATATTTTCCACGGATACTATGTCAAGCATCTCATAAACAGTTAATAAAACTCTCGATCAGTCATTAACCCTTTCGCGGTCACGGCTCGGCTATATGCGTTTGCAATATGGCTGCCTAAAAAATTACTAGAGCTGTCAAGCCAATGTAAGTAGTTCTATTCTTTTTCTCTAACATTTTAGTAGTAAAATAAAAACATTTTAAATTCATCGAAATCCACTCATCCAAAGCTGAGAATTTATTTATTTGTATTATGCTAAAACTCAACCTGGTAGTTCCGGCCTTAAATAAAAAATCCTAAATCCGACCTTGAAAGGGTTAAAGAGAGAAGGAAATCAGAATATGACTTATCCACATCGTGGGTTATCTACAAACAGGTATCATGAGCAGTCAACACGCAGGTAAGTCTGTAATTAATCTGCGACGGAAATTGTTGACCTGAAGAAAATTCTCTTCGGAAATTCGGAAAGATCGAACCAATTAACTGCAGCGGGTTTGGAAAATGCATTCGGAAAATGCAGAAGTACTCATTCCGATTTTTTGTTTAAGTTCCTCGTTCTATCTCCATTTCCGTGGTTCCACTCCATGATCACCAGGTATTACAGAAATCTTGTGCTGGGCTCATTCGGGCAAAAGTTGAGTACGGATAAGAATAAAAATATGTGCATCGTAAAAGCTCAGGTAGGACTGTTCTTGTTGGAACTGTCAGACATGGAGGCACCATCTGACCATCTGCCTCTCAATCGATCTGTACACAAAAGGAGGCTGCCTTCTTGCATCTTTCAGTGTCTCGGTCCGTTCAGGAATAGGTCCGAGTTACGGAGTCGTCGGGATTACTTTTCATCCTAGCGCAACGAATAGGCTCATTTTTTCGTAAATATAAATATCAAGCCGAAAACACGTTGATGACATCGGAACAGGCAATCTATGGCGGCCTTCTTAACATTCCCCTGTATATTCCTATTCCGAAGAGCGAGAGTGCCCCGAAAAAAAAAATTTGAAGATTACTACTCATTTCTCTTGTAGACTAGAAGATCGTCTTGCATCGTCGGGATTCGATGGAATTCCCTTCTTCATCTTCTGTCATACTCACCCGGAATATTGTCATCCTTAGAATGTGCCTTTGTCAGCAAATGCTCACTGAATCGCAGTTGAGAGGTAGATATCTGTATTCAGCAGAATTACATCTGATGGGTCACGTACTCATCGCCTTCGAGCGACCTCTGGGTCCAGTTTTAGTAAACACTGAGGTTTCGCTTTTGTCCATAGATGTCACCCCTCTTCAACCCCCTCTTACTTCTCCAGGCTGTTATTAGTCATGCCCTATCTGCGATTCTGTCAGCCCTTCCTTTTTTTGTATTATTCCGAGGATGCGGGTGACCTTTGATATACCCACACTCTACATCCAGGATCGCTCTCTCCTATCTCATCCCATCAAGGCCAATCCCACCCTCCAGTTTTGTGTAGAGAACAGGATGAATTAGATATGAAGGAATTCTGTTATAGCGGCTCCTCTTGTTTCAGGATTCCTACTCTCTCCTCATGCACTTCAACATCAACCTTTAGCTCACTCTGTTCCGGATTCTCTGAAAATTAAAACCTTCTGCTTCCTTTAGCTATCCTAACTTGTTTTTCTTTCATGTTTCCCTCCCATTTGTTTAAGTTTTAGGGTGGGATTTTTTAACAGAGAACTATCCGATAATGCAGCTTTATTCCAGGGAAAATATATGATATTTCCTTTAAATAAAGCAGCATAGTCAGATAGTTCTCTGTTCAAAAATCGACCCTTAACTTTTTTTTGCAAATAGCCTCGTGTAACACTTCTATGCTACGTAAAATGTTTTGCTTATGGCTGTTATCAAATCGTAAAGGGGGAAAATATATCCATACCTGTCTTTTCCCGGAAAGATTACCCAGTGTTAGCGGACAGCTTTGTCACGGTGGCAGCCGCGATAGCATCTCCTGCTCCTTCTGGAATCAGATAAGTATAGAAAGGGGCCAAAAGGACACGACGAAAGGAACCTCCGACAGGCCGATCGATAAGGTAGGCCGAGGTGTGGTGGACCTTGTGTGGTTCTGATGAAAAAAAAAGGCGTTGGCCAGTCTCATTCCCCTTTTAAGAAGGTATATGGAAAAGAAACACCTTCCCTATCTCCTCGTGGCGCAATCATCCCCTCTCTGATGCAAGTTCTGGTCTTCTTTCTTCTTCGTTCATGCCACCTCCGCACAGGGTGACTCAAATTTCTCAAGACATTTCTTATATTTCACAACTGTCGAATAACCGAACGCGAGCAACTTTGAAAGGAGACAAAATAAAGAGTGGATTTTAACACGTTTGCTGCGTTACGAGGCGCCGGTGTCTCGTACTGACGTGTACGTTCACTGCGTTACAAAGTTCCAAATGTCCGCGTCCTTACGTGGCACCGATGCCCTGAACCGCATTCAACGTGTTAAAAAGTACGAGTACGAACGTTGAGAAGATCATTACATGATCGGCATCTATTCTTCTTAAACCGAAAATTCTCTCGTAATCTTGCCTATAAATTTGGTGAAACTGTCCTAATACCTTTTCCATTCTCAAAGACAATTTTAGCCGTGGCTTCACTTACCCTTCCACTGCAAAAACACCAGCCGTCATTCTGAATGACAACGGCGCGTCACAAATAAATATATAATGTTATATAATATTTATTTCAAATAATAAATTGATAAATGAGCAGAAAATCATCGTGAACAGATGGTGTCAAGTACTAGCTAGCTATCTCCTGGAAGGACAATACGTTCTGCAGTGCTCACAACCAAGGTGAATAAAACGTAAACAGGTTTTGCAAGCGACCAGCCATCATTGCCATGAGTCATGCGACAGCAGCCATCCTGGAAAACTCTAACTTGTCTTGAATTTAATAAATATGTAGACACGATAAAATAAGTGTTCTGAGAATACCCCTTGAAGATGTTTTTATTCTGTGCACTACTGTTTCCTAAGCTACCTCCGTATATGCTTAACTGATGGGCTTCAATGTTATGGACAAAGCGTGATGAAAGAAAAAAATGAATATTTTCCAGAGAAAGAGGAATATTTTCCAAGGAAAGTTCCTGGATTCTAGGGGAAACGAGTTTTGGAACACCTCGTATTCACATGTAATGCATACCTGTAAGGTACTTGTCTCGCTTGAAGGGGACTTTACTCCTTGCTTTCACTCCGAACCCCTATCAGGTTTTTTTCCTTGGCCTCGAGCCAGGGCCGACGAAAAAAAAAGGTAAGGGAATAAAAGTGTAGGATTTATGCGAGTGAAAAGCTTTATTACTCATGCTATGTTATATAGTATAAGTGCATACATTATCAAAATATTTTTGTAATGAACTTTCAGAGTTAGTTTGTCGTTTTTTACTGTTCATGTTATTATATTTTTAAGTATATCGAATGCGTATTCTTACTTAATGTATCCCATCCTTCTGAAATCCCATTATTAGAATGATATTCTCCCCCTTCTGCCCCTTTTTCCTTAACGAATCTTCCCTAAAATGAATTTTAGACTTTCCAAGTCCCTTACTACCTCTCCGTTATCTCGTTCTTGCCTGCTTTTTTAAATTTAAATTTAAAATAAAATATGGTGCAGAATAAAGATAGCGATCCCCGACCGCCAATAATGCAGCACTTGCTGCAAAAACAACTTACTTTCATACTTCTGATTCTTCTACTACTCCTTGGTCGTTAGTTACAGAGCTACCTTTGAAAGAGAAATCAGGCTCCTGATGCAACGACCGGCCATCTCTGAACCGCAATTCAAATTTGAAAAAAAGGTGGCATATAATTTGGTTTTCATAAGATTTTAAGCTATAACAAAGTTATTATACGATAAATATGAAATTCATAAATAATATTGGGAGAGCGCTGAGGTGGAGGTAACGATGCCTCCCTTGCTCGGACCGCGGAGTTCTTCCTCCTGGGCCGTCTCCAAGCATCCTCTGATCTTCCTCCTCCCTTTGCGCTTCATGTCCCACAACATTTCCTCGTATGTCTAATCTACGCACTCGTTCAAAGCAGGTTCGCTGCTGGACTGGACTTGGCCCAGCTTCTTTTCTCTTGGAATCTACATTCCAGCTGTTAGAACCCGTGCAAAAACCGTAAATCTATCACAATCTTCATTTGCTGAAAGTATTTTTTCAAGAGAGCCCTTTTGTATTCACTATGTATTGACTCCTATCTATAGAAGACGTTCAATGGCTATGTGAACGATTCGAGGGATGGAATACAGTTATTGGTAATAATGATAAATACGTAGAGGTAAACATTTATCTTCCGTGCTTGAATGCGTCTTACATTACCTTCACATACGCATAACTTCGTCTCTCATGGGCCTTCTCTGCTAATATTTTGCATGCACGCGACTGGCTGTTTGTTGCGTGCGATGGACCTCCTGATGGAGGTTTTTCCGCGCCGTCAGTATGAGAGCACGCTATGGGGAAAAGATGGATCGATGGGGATTAAAGTACCACAGAGGCAACCTTTCAATATCCTCGCGCGCATGGAGGGAAGGGGGGGAGGGAGTAGACGGGAGACGTGAATAGAGGAACTCGGGATCCGACATCCCTGGGGGCATTTCATATCGTCTGCTAGGCGAGTAGAGTCAAGTCCTAGTGTGTGTGTCTGCTGCATTGTGCAACTCAAGCCCTCCCTTTTTTTTCTCCTTTTTTCCCATCCCGTGCAAACCCACGCATTTTGTGCTGTGACGAAAAAAGTTACCTTAATGAGGTTGTTGGCGAAGGGGGACTCTGTTTGGTTTCGTCTGTAACCGTCCGGGTTAATGGCTCCAGTCCATGGTGGAAGTATATACCGACGGATTCCGCGCCCCCTAAGCCCTTGTTGGGTTTCAGTTTAATTTCTCCATTATTTTCCCTTGTGCTCTCGTTCTCTCATCTTTCTCGCTTTTTACTTTATCTTTGTGAATACTTTAGTGTAGACTTAGATCTCCGAGTGTAAGGCTTTTCGATGCAGAGTTCGAGAATTTCTCTTCTTTCCCTCCAGCTTTCCTTCAGTTTTCCCCCACCTCCTCCAAAAAAAAATTATTCCGATAGCTTTTTCAGTTATATTCTTGAGACAATTATTAAGCTTAGTTGTCGACGAGTGCTGACATATCTGATCTCTGATGTCTATTTTACCACTTGAGAATGACCAACCTTGAGACAGATGAATCGCGAGGGATCGAAGGAGGGAAAGAAATATTTTCACGCTGATGTTCCAGTGATGACGAGATTCCCATCACGTCTCTCTTCTACAAGATGCCCGTATATAGACGCAGACAGTTGGCGTGACGTCATCGTGAATGCACGGGGGCGTGGACCCCACAAAGACAGGCTTCCCTCGTTTGTCGCATATATAATGTAATGAAGAGGCCCCAGAATGGTAATTGCCGGCCCCTACGTCTCACGACGAACGCGATAGCAATGATGACTCACGCGCACCTCGACACAGGGTTGCACGATTCCACGGCCCCATCTGGCCTTCCTGATATCCTACTTCCGCCTTTCCCTTCCGCTCGGATTTCATGCACCCGCATCGGCAACGAAACACTGCATTGGTTTGAAAAGGGTAGCCCTATGCAATATACTGAATGATAGAGGGGTGGGGGGAGGTAAATAATGAACTTCGGAACAGGATAAATCGAATATATACGAAGCCCAGAACTGGAAACGTCTTCTTGAACATGCATCAAAATTAAAATCCTTGGGATTTAATTGAATCTGGAGGAAAGGCGGAATTCAGCGTCAAAATTGAGATGAAGACTAAATCTCTAAAGATATCAAAATAATTAAAATCGCAGTATAAATAGATCCTTCGCCTACAACTTGCACTCCAGACCAGGGACAATGACACGGGCAATACATTTTTAAAATTTTGTCCCATTATGAAGTAGGTGTCAGCAACGCTACCAACGTCAAAAGTGGTTTTCAGGTTTTACATCTTTCTCACGCATAGTAAGTGAAAAGTGTCATTAGGAAGACCACATGGTGTCCTTTTTTCGATCGTATATAGTGTGCTATTGAATACGTTGAAGAGGTAAAATGTCATGCGCACATGTGTACTCTCTTATACTCCCGTGAAGAGATGCTCCGCTGAAAATCCTTTCCATTCATATTTACATATTCAATCGGCTCTATATGATAAATAGGAAAGGCCCGCCTCTAAGCGCCAGTCTGTCTTCCCGAGCAATGAGGAGACGATGTATGCGGGCCAAATTTCTCCCGACTGGCGTAAAGGGAGGGAAAAAAAACGGATTCTTTGGTGAAGTCTGTTTAGCTTTCTTGGCGTTGTCTGGTCTGATACCTGCGAAGTGAGACAGACTCTTTTTTTTTTTCTTCTTTTTCTTTCTAAACTCTATCTCATGGTATCTAAGATTTCACTTGTTTTCCTTTTAAGAGTGAGGAATTTTTATGGGCTGGTACAAGGCGAGTAGCCCCAGGCTCTTTTCCATCCTCCATCGAGGATCCTCGAAGGTCGGTCTAGGAAGCTGCTCATGAACCACCCTGCTTTCATAATGGTTCGTTTCTTGCGGTCGAGGGTGTCGAAATCGTTGACTAAGCTGGAATCTAAGGCGTGGGAAAAGTCGTATTTCTCCGATCCTCAAAAAAAAGGAAGGACGGAAGCGACGGAAGGGAAGGAAATGGGAAAGGAGGAAGGAAAAAAAATTGGCGAGGGAGCTAATAATAGGCAAGCTCTAAAAACGGTCTTTCTTCCCCCGTTGGCACCTGCAGCCAACTCGAGGCCGAGATGTCTTGCATCTTGTGACGATTCCCCGCTGTGCCAATTTCTCCTCTGCGCTTCTGTTCTCTTCCGCCAAACCATCTGTTCCTTATCATTTTCATTCTTTCTTCCGCGAGATGTAAATTGATTAGGTATAGGCTCGACAACATAGGGAATCGTCGGATGATATAGGTCTGCACGAGTCACGTGGAGATTCGTTTCGGTAGATCCAGCATCCGTGGCTGGCCTTGAACTAGCCAGAAGATTGGTCAGCGGAGGTCTCCGTTAGCCAATGAATGGAATTGTGTCGCAGGCCCCGCCCCCTTGCGACGCGTCATTCCTGTCCAACCTTACTAGTTTGACTTTACCTTTCATTGCGGTTTTTTTTAAAACCTTTGGCGTAACCGCGTGAGCGCGTTCCAAGGTAAATCATCTCAGAGAGACGATGACATGAAAGTCTGGTTTCCACAGTGCGCAGACTCGTAGGTCTAGACCCTGTTTCTCTTTCTATCCTCCCTTTTACCATCGCCAGTGTCGCCTCAGCAGTCGGCGTGTGTCTGTGCACACATTCCCGTTCGTCTCTCGTTAATTCCCCCTTCCATTTTAATTACCCTTGAACTCCTCCTAGCTGGAACCAGGCCAAGGAGATTGGCTTCTTGTCTTCTTCCGTTCAGGGACGAAATTCTCGGTGTGGATAGCGAGAAACTATTTGCATTCCAAACCATGTGATCCTTCTGTCTGTGGTACTTCTATTCTGAGTGAAACTTTGCCACGATGGCCGCAGCCACGTTGAATAAGAACTTGGAGAACTTGAATATATCGGGTGATGAGAAAAAGCCCGAGGAAGAAGAGAACGAGGAAGATATGGCCATCATGTCCCACATTGGGACGAATGAGGATTTCTGCTGTCACCTCGGCGATGACTGTCTCTTGTCCGATCCACGGTTCAAGGAATCCGGTGAGTCGATCCTGAGAGGGGACCGGATTTAAAAACATTCTCGCCCAGGTGTATGAATGAATGCAGAAGGAGTGAATGAATCACTGAGATCTGATCGGCCGGGGGTGAAAGGAAGGTTAGGAGCCTCGTACTGTGACTCCCTGTCCCTTCATTTCATGCGAGAGAGACCTTTCCTCTTCTTGGCAAACCGCCACGAAAAACAGCATTTGCTTGTATACTATACCATACTAGCCTCTTTCTATCTCTGGCTTCTCTGTGGCGTAATCGTCTTTGCCCCAAGAATGGTTATTCTGACCAGTGGGATGGGCTATGGACTGTGGCTGACAGAACACCTCAAAATCATTGCGCCGAATGAGAGTCTTCCGTTTTTTTTTCCATAATGATACGTAGAACATTTAAACTTTTATTTCAGAATTTATGTGCGATAATATACATAAGAATTCGTAAATTGAATAAAGAAGTGTGTGAATTTTGCACTCTTTCCGATTTTCGTTAGCTCTCGTCTTACTACTCCTTCCACGACGTGACCAGAGGTGTGAATGGCATAATTAGTGAAAAGCAAGGGAGGCTAAGAGGCCTGTTTGATGAAGACATGCTTTAGGAATGTCAATGTTGGATTTCTGAGCCATGACGTGGCTCTCATGTTTGCCTCCATTGCACGTCCAGACTCCCTTTATACAACAGACTCTGACCTTCACGCTCGGTAGATCGTGAACCATTCTGACTGAAAATCTGTCATGCAGCAACAGACAGTTCCTAAAATGGCCCTCGAAAAAACTCACGGAAGAATACGAACGAGAAAATCTTTGATAGAATGATAAAGATACCGAAGTGGACCATTTCTCATTTGCCTGTATTCCTTGGAGAGGCCTGACGTACATCTCCCTCGACTACAAAGGAAAGTTCAGAAGTTCTAAAGCGCGTCCATTAAACCCGCCATGAAATCGTTGACCTGGTTGGACCGGCTTCCAAATAATTTTTTTTCCCCCTCTTTGTGTCGTCTGCAAGGTAGACGCCTGTTGTTGTTCCACTTTCTTTCCCGTCGTTGATCTTGGCAGGTCGAACTTTGAGTCACCTTATGCACTTTGCCATAGGAAAATGAAAAAGAAATTAAACCTCTATTTATATATTCGACTTCTTAATCCCTACAGGGATGAAGAAGATGGAATACAAGACAAGGCAATGGCACGAGAAGTGTTTTTGCTGCTGCGTTTGCAAGACCCCAATCGGGACGAAGAGTTTCATCCCCAGGGATCAGGATATTTATTGCACTGGATGCTACGAGGAGAAATTCGCAACCCGCTGCATCAAATGCAACAAGGTACACTTATTGAGCTCTCTTACATTCTCTTTTATCCCTGCATATATTTAGAGCTGTATGTTCTGATCTGTGCTCAACAATCTAGTTTTGAGATATCTTCGATGGACGATTACCCTTTTGAAAAAAAGTCATCTGTATTGATAAAAGAATATCCTGAATTGTCGACTTTGTTAATGACCACCTGATGAATGAGGTGATGTTTGAGCAGTAAGACCGTTAAGAGCAAATTATCTGCGAGTTCTATGCAGTCCGAACTATTTTGCTCGAGTATATAATGACTTGAGGCACTTGGGCCTCTTCGATATCTGCTCTGAAGACATAAAAAAATAATAATTATATTGAGCTCTTCTACTCATGCCTATGGACATTTCCTTTCTCGAAACCATGGCAATCAAGGCTCTTCTGCTCTAAACAGACGCTTTCTATGTATGCATGAAGCGATTTCAAAATTTTTTTCCGGTTAAGCTTAACATTTCGTTGATAATCTGTAGGGGCTGCTCACAAACGAGCAGGTTGAAAAGGATTATTGTGCGGCAATCATCAACTTTCCCTTAACATTTTAAGTGAATAGTTAGCAGAATGTTAGGGTGGCGCACCAGGAAAGTTCATGTGCAATATCTCTGGTAATTCCAAACGAGAATTTGTTTCCTTTCGACTCGCGCTTCTCTCTACTACCCTGGTCATTAGATTATTTTTAAACACGTCTATCCATACATGCATTCAAATACATCTAAATACATGAATACGTGAAGTAGTGAGATTATGCTAACGGTTAGCTAGCGTTTTGTAATACCTTTTAAAGTACAATTTTATTAGACTTCGATTCCGGGTTGGTTTGATTTTAATTAACGGAGAAGCAGTCTGCAAAGCCATAACAAAGACAAATGCAAAGAAAACCGAAGAGAGCCTACCTATTCTCCAGTCATTCAGCCAGGTTCTAGAGGACTTTTTCTCACAATAACAACCCACTACGGGTGGGTTGGTTCCCGCGGGTTTTTTGGATCTTAAATGTTGCGCAGTTTACGTTAATCTAATCTTGCGGTTGAGTAAACATGATCCTAATATATTTTATCCAGAAACTGGGACGAACGCGAGAAATTGCTGATAAAGAAGATATACTTGCTTTCCTCGGTTTGTACAAAAGCGTTTCAACCATATGTGGAGCAGTGACGAAACGGTGTAAGTAAATAAAGTTGGTCATAGAACGGGATGATAGATGTCGGTGTATAAGTCTAGATTTAGTATGCAAGGCAGGACTTGGAGGCGGGGGTGGACAGCGCCGTGACAGAAAGTCCTCTCGTAAAACATTTTTGCCTCCCTCCCAAGGTCCGTCTAGATTAAAAAAAAAAAATTATTATTGAGTGAAAGGAGGTATGCATGTTGTCGATCATGCATGGCGTGCAGATGTTATATACTTGTCCTGGGGTTTGTCATCTGGGCTGGGAAACCAGACTTCCTCGGGCTTAGTCATGCGGACTGGTTTTGACGCATTCGATCCCAACTGATTTTCTCCTACCTACCTATCGATTTGAATAGAAGGGGGAGAAAGTATGGTGTTCATTTCAAAAAATGAAAAATTGAAATGGAACAACGAAATTGGATGAAAAATAAATTAATACATTGTTGGAGTCGAGATTGAAACTTTACCATAGCAGTAAGAATGAAGACGGATTAGTATTAATAAAATTGGAAATATTGTGCAGTTAAAAATTTAAATAATGGTCTTGAAAGAACGGGCAGATCAGATTATGAGGATGAGTCCACTTGTAGGTTTTTTTTCATGATAATTTCCACTTCATTGTTTTTGGGATGTGAGTATAGATCATAACACAAGGCGGGGTGACATACAAGAATGAGCCGTGGCACAGGGAATGCTTCACTTGCACGCACTGCAACAAGAGCTTAGCCGGCGAGCGCTTCACATCCCGGGACGAGAAACCTTATTGTGCCGAGTGCTTCGGGGAACTTTTCGCCAAGCGATGCACCTCCTGCTCCAAACCCATCACCGGTATCCGTCCTTCCTTCAATACCTTCCATCCCATTCTCTTTCGAAATTTTTCTATCTCTCATTCTTGACACATTGTCTAGTGTAAATTAGGCATGATCTGTGGTTAGGGAAATTTTCCCATCAAATCGTTTCATCCTCCTCATTTTTTGGAAATATCTAATATCAAGCTGCGCCCCATTTTCAAGAAAGATATTTTGCAGAATCTTCGCATCATGTACCAAAATATATTTGAGTGAAAAATAAGAATGAAGTATAAATAAAAGTATATGAAATGAAAGACCTTGAAATGACTTTAATACTCTAAGTATTTTAAAAATGTATCCATTAATGATTCCGAATGATTGAAATTCTCATCGGTATTACCAAATATCGTAGGTTACTAATATGAAGATTAATTGGACGGAAGTGAAAGTGTACAGAAAAGGTTTAAAAAATGTATTTCAAATTAAACATTAGTTTATTTCTGGATTTGAAGATTGATGTTAAATGTTGAATTTTCCTCCTTGTCTCTTGGTCCGTTTGGCGTGGATGTCCGGATGCAGGGATCGGTGGGACGCGGTACATTTCTTTCGAGGACAGACACTGGCATAATGACTGCTTCGTGTGTGCCATGTGTAACACAACGCTGGTCGGGAAAGGCTTCATCACCGACGGCGATCAGATCCTCTGCCCCGAATGTGCCAAGCAAAAGCTCATGTGAGATCGCATCTCTTCATCCAGGACCGTCTTACCTTTCGCCTTTCTTCTTCTCCCACTCCCTGATCACCTTTTCACCCTCCACCCACCCGAGTATCCATGGTCTGTTCCTTTACTGTTGCTGTTCCTGCAGGATCTAAGTGCCTTGTTTTTAGGTTCCCCGTCTCGTGTGCTGTTCTGTCGATGTAAATACGTTCGATCGGTGTCTTCTCCCTCTCCTCGAGTTTTGTGTCTTTAGTTGACACAGCTTTACTGTTACTAATCGATGCTAGTCGCGAGAGGAAACAAAGGAAACAAAAAAAAAAGCAAGCTTCTTTTCCTTTCTTCTTTCCTATGCCCCAAGCCGGTTCATTTTTCGTCGATGTGGTTGTGAACGCGATAAAGCACCTTCATTTCTCTATGGCATAACCCGCTTCTTTTCGGGAATCCGATCGCGATAATCACTGCATGCATGAATGAGTGCCAGATGTGAAGCAAAGTTGATTTATTATTTGTTGAAACATGACGTATTTTATAGAGGTAGTTTCTTGTTCCTGATAGTGTCTCATTCTTTTCTTTCCCGGTTCGATGCATAATAATAATAAGTATATGGCAGGAAAAGTTTTCAGCTGTGAATCTTTGGACGAGAATGAAGAAAAAAAAATCTGTGATTCTGTCGAACGGAAGTCATCAAAATTCATACTTATCTCTTTTCCATGATGGACTCTGTTTCCTTTTTTTTGCATTCTTGTGTGCGAGCTGCGGAGAAAATGGACAATGGAGTCTAGAAATAAACTTTCTACTAAATTCCGTCTCATACATTTCATGACTATTGAACACATGAAATACTTTATCTTCTCATCATGGTTCGGATGCAGTGGGATCCAACCTTTCTAGGAGCTGCGTGGCCACTTTGCAAAATGCGGATTTTTGCTCTGAGTCGTCGTTTTCTTCCTCCTCTGTGAAAAGAAGAATAAGTGAAATTCATATTATCGCCCCATTTCATCTCGTGTTCATTAGAACCCAAAATTTCGACATGTTTGAAGTGATTGTTACATTTGTATCACATCGCTTGAAGCCAATTTTATTGAAAAATAAGAATTTCGGTCCTGGACGGTCCAAGACCAATGGAGATGTATTGATAATTATTGCAAGGAGTGTGGCCAGTACCCACCGATGAGGTCCTCAAGGAGCAGGACGAGCTCTTGAACGTAGTTTTCGCCGAGATGACTTTTGAGGTCATGAACTCCGGCACAAGCGTTCCAGATGACCTGACACGCCAAGGAACCGAGCTCCCAGTCTCCTTCATCCACGTCCCGAAGTACACCCAACAGCCTGCAGATAAACTTCCTCTTCTCACTTAATCTCTCCAAGGAGACAGGAATCGAGATGCAGGGGTGTTAAATGTCGACCTGGGAAGGCCTCGTTGTTGAATGAATTGTTGCCGTCGATCAACGTCGTTCATCATGTTGACTAGGACTCCCGCCGTACCGAACACCACGTCCGCACTCCTCACTTCCAGCAACTCCAGCAACTCCTCAAACACTGACATTCTCAAATCCTTATTTCCTTCCTATTCTTTATGATTATATTTTCTGTTAATAGACGAGTGGGCTTGTACCTTTTCGGGAGGTGATAAGGTCCCGAACGTTTCTGAGTCGACTTAGGTTGCCCAAAACTCGAAGGCATTCAACCATAACTTGTGGATATGATATGATACTTCGGGACGTGAACAGGTCACACAAATCTAAGAAAAGAAACGTACGTACATACAAGACCTTTGTGTTGAGAATATAGTAGGAGGAACGAAAAAACTATGTGAACCCCTCCACCCCCAATTCTCGAACTTCTTACCGCAGAGATGCATCTGAGTAACAGAGGAACAGAATACAGGAAGACATGGTATCAAGATGCACGATTAAGGTTATCTTCGACTAACACCGGTTGGAAAGGAGGGAATTCGACTCCCATAGCGGTGTTCTGTCAGAAGAATTTCAATACTTCCACACCCTTCCAATACCATATAGCACGCCTAGGACTACCCAAAAGAATTAGCATGAAGGACATCATATCCTTGTACCTCAGGCTTAGCAGGTTTTTCCCAGAAAAAAAAGAGTGTTCCGGAACTTTTTGACTGGCCCTCGTAGGTTTCCTATTTCTTAGGTCTGGATTGATAAATACTCATTGAAAGTAAATAGCGAGCTGTTTGGAACAGAATATATATTATCTGCATTGTACCACAACCTAGAGAAAAGTCCTAGCATCATATCACTAGAGAAAAACTCTGAAGAGCATTTACCCAGCTGCAAGATGTTTACCGGTAGTGCAGATATAATGCATTCGCCAGAGTCCATAACGTTGGAAAAAGCGCACACGCCATTCCTAACTTCACTCTATGAATCGGTGAATACCCGTGTGGCACAGATACGTCAATTCGACGTGGATCTTAGGTAGAAACGTAGATGGTAGGTGGTAGATGCCGTACTGGCCTCTACGCTCGTGGCGGAGGCTTCAACTTCCGCGATGCCGGTCTATATACTATGTTCCTAACTCTCCATTTCGTTGCAGTATCCTACTCTGTGCTGAATAATGCGAATTCCTTGGGAAACTGTCCACTTTAGGGCTAAGTCCCCACAGTAGAGACACCAAGGGTAGACCTGCATGTGTCCTTGTAGAACCAATCAATTTCGTTGTGGATAGGCCTCGACCCATAATCCATCTTAGGCACCTTTCACATGTCCTCAAGACTAAACCCAATCCTACCTACAGTTTAACATAAAGAGGCCTCTAATCCATTCATGGACCCGTTGGTATTATTAGCTGAATTATGTGTATCCCAGCTGACAGACTTGTGCAATAACCCAACTATTTTCACTTTAGATAGGCCTATTGCTTCTTATGAGACTTCAGGAACTATGAGTATCAAAATAATTACATTGATTGGTGTAAGTTATTTAATGACATGTTCAGCCAGTATGCTGCCTTCATAGAAAATACATGCTGAATGTCTAGAGCAAGTAAATTGATACCTACTTCCCTTAAGGTTTAAGGGGTTAATAGCTTTTCATCAGACCCATTCAGTTGCTCTGGTATTAAGTTCAAATACCTATTTTAGTAAAACATAGGAAGTAAATATAATGTAGAATAAGAGGCAGTAAGATGGGCCATTTGAGTTGAATATTGTCCAGACTCCACAAGCAGGCATATATTTTTTGGTACACCTTTCTTTTTTCTAGGCCTTTTTGAAACCTGGATTCTGTCA